TGGCGCTTTGGTTTGAGTCCTACGCTTACGCTTATTCGTATCGAGAGTTTCGAAATATATCGAGATCACTTTCCTTTCTCTTTTTTACGGCAGGAACATGGGAAAAAATAATTCATTCGTCCGAAATAATTTGTTTTCTTTAGGAATTTTGGGAAATATGTTGTTCTAAAAACAACTATAATTTTTTAGACACTTCAATTGACAAAGTCAAATTTTATTGAATTTTTCCGATTGGCCAGTCAATTGTAATTAAAGAAAAATGACGCGCGGCGGTGTTTCCCTCATAGGGTGACCAATCTAGGGTTAAATAATTTTAGAATCTCATTTATTTGCAGTCAAGTATTTGAGATTCAATGACTTACCACTGACGACAACCATCGCCAGAGCGAGGATAAAGAACAAACCAATGCGTGTCATGTTAGATCCTCAATACGGTAAAAAAAATCGCACTGCAGCTGTTGGTCAGCAGGGGACACGGTTTTATTGTCGAAGACCCTGAGCCTCACCCCTGTATCTATGCATGAATTGATGATTTACTCGAGAAAAAATATTATTGTTATCATAACATGAGAGAGAAAGTGAACTTTCTATCTTTATCTCATCTTCACTGTTCACCCTCGAACGGCCTTGTAATATATGGCAAATAATATTTTTATTTTCTGCCTCTATCTCTTATTTGTTCAAGAAAACCTGCAGAAAATTTTACATAAATAGACGCTGTTGAAATGTTGTGTTTTGAGTAAAAACAGTTCCCACTTCGATGAGGTATAATTTTTTTATTTGTATCTAAAAATTATTGAAGCATGAGAATTTAGAGAAGATGATCTTGAAGTTTATTGTTATGATGGGAGACGAGTAGCTTCCTTAAATCCTTCAGATAATGTCCTAGCATCTCTCGACGCATGTACCAGTAGAAGTCCTGAACCATCCAGGTCTGCAGAAACAGCCGCGTACGCATCTCTGGAATGATTGAATTGTTGGTTGATCAGAATTCTTCCGAATGAGAAGATGTAGTGAGGCTATAGTATATTTCGTCATTTATTAAACATTTTTTCACGAGTTACGAACAATATTTTTCATCACAATGTGGCGGAAGTTGGACTTTTAGGCACGTGGAGCGTGCCGAAAAGTTCACTTTTCGTCACAGCGTGATGAGAAAGTATTATCTGGCGAATGTGGCATTATAATCACATTCGGCAGATAATGCTTTTATCGCCGTGTGGCATACGATATTTTATGTCGTTGGGTCCGAAAACCGCGATCTAACCGAGCGAAGCGAGGTTAGAATCGCGGTTTTTTCGGGCCTAACGACATAAAAGTGTTTTTTGACCCGTGAGAGGTGCTACTCTCCCGAGGGTCCAAGAACACGAGTGTCAAACCCTATTTTTCATCATAATGTGTGGAAAGCAGAATTTTGAACATGCAGAGCGTGCGTAAAATTTCGCTTTGCGCACAAGTGGCGCGATATTATATTTCGATACAAGTGTGGAAAAATGATTTCTGCGTACGGGAGCGATGTAGCGTTCGCCGAAGGCGAGTGATAATTTCGTATTTGATTCAAACAGTTACTGTTGCCTTCATCAACATATGAGGATAGAAAAACTCAATAATTTATGAGAACTTGAAACGTTTTATCGCTTCGCTACTGAATTTTCATACCCTATGGCAGGGTCCTGTGTATCGGAAACAAGCTGGTGGACAGGCACTGCCACACCAATCCCAGACCTTATTGCGACCGCAGCGTTGAGCGTTTATCTCTGTGAAAAAAAAATCGAGAAGTTGCACTAATATGGCATTGAATTGAATGTAAATTTGCCTACTTCGGGAAAAATCTGGATCTTGTGGAGAAAAATAATGTGGATTAAAAATCGGCATCTTACGGGAAACATACCTCTTTGCGGAGGATACTTTACACACACATCTATGGATGCAAAAATTATCCTCCTGGACAGTAAAATTTCTCACAGAGATTGGGTATTTTTTTGCCCCCATGTGAAGGACATGGGGACGATCGGAAGTGAATCTTTACCGATCGCGTTCGGTAAAAAGTCATTCTCCGTTTCACAAAAATTATACGCCATATTGAGCAACTATTCACGTGCACTGGAATAATTTTCGGTGGACAGGAAGTAAATTTTACAGTTTCAGCACAAATTTTCCTCATGTTCAGTAAATTTTCCCGGATCAACGGAGAAAAATTGACTATTCGTCTCGCACTTTTCCCGATATACACAGCAAAAACAGATGTTTGAATTTCACACACCTTTTGTAGACATTTTTCGGACACTAAAAAACGTCTGAATAAAATGAAAATGTGTCTGAATTTCAAACGAACCGGTGCCCAAACATCTTAATTCATGTTTGAAATTCAAATAAATTTTCATTTTATTTTCATTTTATTTTCATTTGATTTTTTTTTTGTTTTTTAGTGTCTGAAAAATGTCTACGAAAGGAGTGTGAAATTTAGACATTCGTTTTTGCTGTGTTGGCTGAAAATGCCGAAAATCGAGTTCTCTCCACGACTACTTGACTTGTTCGGTAATTTTTCTCCAACATTTTTCTCCGTGTATCAATACAGTAGCGAAACGGTAAACCGGGTTAAGTCGTTTTTTACTATTGACTAGTTTTTGACGAATATATCGGAATCTAAAAGAGATAGAAAGATTTTTGTCATGACCTTTTTTGTAGAGCCAATAGAGCGTTATAAAAAAAGTCGTAAGAAAAATTTTGCCATCTCTCTTAGATTCCGAGATATTCAGCAAAAACTGGCTAATAGTCAAAATCGACTTAACTCGGTTTACCGCTTCACTACTGAATAGAAGGCACAAGTCTTGTGAGGTGGGCATTGCCTCCCCTACTCACCGATGATGAAGACCATCGCTACAGCAAAAATGAGGAACACACCAAGGCGTGACATGCTGTATGTGCAATGTGGGAAAAAAATCGTACTGATCCTGATAATTAGAATATCGTGGGCTTTTATAGCGGAAGAGAGTGATGGAGCACTGTCCTTGTCTCAATGTATGTAAGCACAATACGATGATTTATTGTTGGCGATAGAATTGTCATCGCAATGTTGAGAAGAAAACAGATTTCCTCGGTCTGTCATCTATATCGTTGCTATTCAGTGTTGGAGATTTTCTTCCAGTTTGCATGGTTGGAGAACGATAATCTTGCAAATTTCGGTGGAAGTTCTTTACTGGTTTATTATATGCATGGTAACACTGTAAAAAATTTGGTTTTAAATTGACACCGATCGGTGTCCCAATGAGTCCACATCATTTTTGGTGTGGAGTTGCGGTGTTAAAATTACGCCGCATAGGACATCGCATGGAAAATCTGGTGTTAATTCAACACCGAACGGCATTTTTTTAAATTCATATTCCCTTTCTACAATCATTACGGTTTTATTAGCTCCCTATTTCACCTGCCTTTTGCCGGAAACTCGGTAAACGCGTCCGGGTTGGTGTAGAATGATGGTGACTGCCCATAGAACAGAATCTACACGGAGGCGCATCTGCGTACACCAATCAGAGGCGAGCAAATCAAATTGGCGGGAAAATTTTGCGTTCTCATTGGTTATATGGATGCGTCTCCGAGTGGATTCTGTTCCACGCACGGAGAGAAAAATTCTATAAAAATTACCAGAAGAAAAACGTAGAAATTACGTTTCGAAACATAATCGTTGTTAAAAATTTCAACACGCAGAGAAATATTCAATAAAAATTACGTATCTTTTCCGTAATTCCGTAATTCAAATTGGCGGGAAAATTTTGCGTTCTCATTGGTTATATGGATGCGTCTCCGAGTGGATTCTGTTCCACGCACGGAGAGAAAAATTTGGTAAAAATTACCAGAAGAAAAACGTAGAAATTACGTTTCGAAACATAATCGTTGTTAAAAATTTCAACACGCAGAGAAATATTCAATAAAAATTACGTATCTTTTCCGTAATTCCGGAGCGAAATGTCGTTGTAGGAAATTTTACGGAACTGCCACGAAATTTTTCCAGAGCGCTCCGTAATTTTTGTCTGAATCTCTTGTGAAAAATTACGATACCGTCACTTAAATTTTCTGAGTCGATTCCGTAATCGGTGAGTGAAGTGAGAAGTCCGTAATTTTTACTGAACATTTCTCTGAAATGAAAAAGTGAAAAAGGTTCACGGAGAGAAATATTCAATAAATATTACGTATCTTTTCTGTAATTCCCGGAGCGAAATGCGGTTGTAGGAAATTTTACGGAACTGTCACGCAATTTTTTCGGAGCGTTCCGTAATTTTTATCTGAATCTCTTGCGAAAAATTACGACACCGTCACTTGAATTTTCTGAGTCGATTCCGCAATCGGTGAGTGAACTGTGAGTTCCGTAATTTTTACTGAACATTTCTCTCCGTGTTGAAATTCCAAAAGTAATTTTCCAACAGTGTGCGTATAAAATGCCATACCATGCGTTTATCAATTTAGTTTGAAATAGTAGAAGATAAAAATGAAAAATTATATATCTCACGACGAGAGGAGCCGATTGGAAAGTCCCGTACATCACACACCCACCATAATAGGTGATATGACTGGAATTAGTTTAAATTTAATTTTAGCCACGGAGTTTGTCTTGATAAGTTTAAGTCATAGGAATTTAGTTTTACCAAAAAGTCTTATTTCATCAAATGCGTCATTTATTTGAATGTAATATGATGATTTATATTGGATAGAAAAAACTTGTCGTCCTGATACGTTATGAAATGAGAAAATGTTCTCTTTCCCCGACTTTGTTATGCTTTTTATCCGATAAAGAACACCGCACAAATAACTACGTCATGTCAATATTTCACTTCCAGTAAAAACAGTCAATACTGCTGTGAAAAATAATATATTTACATCCAAAACATGTACTATGCAGGGAAATTTGGAAAATATGGTTTTGTAGCTTCATCGTCACCACCGAAGGACGCCACAGGAGAACCGGGAGAAGAGTAGCACTCTGGAATTTTTGGAATCATCTTCTAACATCTTCTAACACATATGCCACGGTTATTCCTGAACCAACCGCGTCTACAGAAGCAGCCCTGTACGCATTGCTGCAATCATAGAATTGTTTATTAATTATAATTATTCTGAATAGAATGGATTGAATTGGGTTCGGGAACAGTTTTCATACTCTAGTGCAGAATCGTGGACGAGGATTCCTGCAAGTCGGCGGACAGGCGGTGCCACAACGGTTCCAAACTTCGTTGCGAGGGCAACGTTGGGCATTTATCTCTGCGAAAAAGTTCGAAAACAGTATTGAGCAAATCAAATTTGAATTATTTGTGGGAAACATCATACGGGAGATGGAGACGATCTTGAATGGTGATATCGGACGAGAATAGGAAAGCTTGTTTGGTGGGATTTTTTAACACTCCGTTGGTCGCGCTATGAGCGCCACGCACGGAGAAAAAAATTCCAGAATTTTTCAGGCGAAATTCAGGCAAAAATTACCGTGCCGTCTGGTAAAGTGGGTTCAATTGTCTAGCACCAGAAAAATTCCGGTGCTGCATAGTAAAAATTCCGGTAACGCACAATAAAAGCTTGATCCCTNGCCGCACTTTTTCTAATTATTCAAATTACGCAGCAGTAAAGGCTGAAAAAATTTTGCAAAATTTTGACATCTCATCTTGAAGTGTCTAGAAGCCCTACCAATCAAAATATCCACTAAAAATATCATAGGGTGAACCAACCAGTGTTCGAACCAGACCAGTAATCGAACTAATTGGTACTTTTTCTATAAAAAAAATTAGTAGAAGGCATTATACATGAAAAATAAAATTATGACATTTCCAAATGATATTGTGATGATTGAAAATGTCTAAGTTACCTTATTACCAGCGGAAAAAACAGTTTTCGATGACACGCCACCAATAGCATATTCCCATTACAGAATACGCATTTCAATTACTGGGTTTTCACACATTTTCAGCTTTTTGTATTCATATCATTAATTGTATCGTCAATTAATATCCATAATATTTTTTTCTATTATCTATGGAGATGTACAGGGGAGTTATAATTATTTTTAAATCAATTTTCGACTTGGTTATATTTTTAAATATACGTCAAAAATAGCTGTGACCTTATTCGTTCGAACACTGGACGATTCACCCTAAGTAATTGAATTTTCAAATTTTTATTCTGAAACTCCGGGCGGTGTACCGTGTATAAGGCGAATTTTCCGAGAAACACGGCATTTTGAGGTTGAATTTATAATTAAGGGTAACACTGAACATAAAAAATTGCACAGGGCTTCTTCAAGGGTACGATATAGATCACTCTTGATTTTTTCCAGATTTCTCCAAGATTTTTCAAATTTATCATTATGTCGATTTAGGCTGGTGTGGCACGGCCCTTACGGCACGACTAATGGCATGTTAAATGACGCGTTTCCTAGAATTTTTTTGTCTGATTATAATCATTCGACTTATTCAAATATATGAGGCTGGCAGACAGTCAAAACTGGTCAAAGTCTACAAAAACGTAAAAATTTTCACCCGAAGACTTTCACGTTGCACCTTGGTATCCCCTTAAGGATTGAAAAGAATTGCATACTGTTAGATTTTAAGGTATTCCTCAATAACCCAAGTAGAAACATTGACTTATTATTGACTTATTATTCTTTACCACTTCGGTACGGCATTTGCAATTGTATTTTACTGATTGATGACATATTTCCTTCTCTTAAAACCCTTTACATTAAATCTTGAATAACTAACCACTGATGGTGATCATCGCCACAAAAAAGATGAAGAACAAACTGAGACCCCGCATGTTAATTTTTCAATATCATGAACGATCCGTACTGATGACATTGACTGAGGCCGCAGCCCCTTTTATAATGATTGCAAATGTTAACCGAACACTCCTCTTGTTTCAACGTCTGCACCCGTAATATAACGATTCATTCACGAAAAAATATTGTTGTTATTTTAATATGAAGAAAAAAAAACATCTTGATCAATTGTTTTTTTTTCCTCTTTAAAGTTTTGGTGAAATTTCATTGTAAATAAAAAAGTTTGGAGGAAAAAAATTTGATAGCGAAGTTAGCGAACGGGATATAATGGGAAATTCTTGATTTCATCGGCCATCTCAGGACATTTCTGATGGTGTGAGGCCCGAGTGCAAGAGCGGGTCTCGAAATATAGCGCAAATGATTCTAAGGATGATTTTTTAACCAGTGGGGACTCCTAGACCCCACAACTCTGGTCTGGTGACAACTCTGGTTTTCAACTCTGGATCCAGAGCTCAAAACTAGAGTTCATAGCAGAGATGTCAGACAAGATGTGAGTGAGAATCTACCGTGGAGCGTGCGAATAGACACTGCCGATTGCATTCACAAATTTAACATTTTTGGTTGTGGAGGAGACAATTTGATTCATCTTAACCCAGACCATTCTTCCGGTCAATTTTGGGTTCTTTCGTATTCTATTATTTCATTATAATCTGTACAATAAATAATAATTAAAAAATTACTGAGGTCAAATTATATGAGTAGGGTATTGTACCGCATTAGCCGATATTCTTAGTTCCACATCATGACATAGCGATATTGCATAAATATTATAGGAAGAGTAGTAAAAACCGACTGTAATGGTTAGGTGGGTGAGGTGTTCAATCTAATTATCAAAAATATTACAACAATTACAAAATTTATGATGAAGCCAATATTCACAGAATTGACTGCTTCATTCTGAATTTAATTCGCAATCACATTAATAACTCCTCAAAATATATTAAAATTAACAACATCATTGGCGCTCCCTTCTATACAGACGATAATTATATCCACAAAACACTTAATAGTGGCTTTATCCCACCTGAAGCCGTCATTTACTTGGATAAAAATAATATAATTCAAGACCAAAACAATATTCCTATAATATACCACGTAAAAAGAGGAAGATATCCCAACAAAATTGTATACAAACAAAATATAAATTGCAATACGGAAAAAAACTTAATAACCGGCGACACGACAATCTCTGAAAGAGATAATAAATTAAACCACAGATCTAAATTCAAGGAATATTCGTGACTCCCTGAGCTCCCGGACAATAATCCTTAAACCTCCCTGTACATATTCCTCCCCCCTCTGTACATACAAGTACATACGTAATTATTTTAGATTTAAGTAACTTACGATAATTAAAAATCAGGTTTAATAGCCATTTCCACAACTCCGAGTAAACGCCACTGGCGCATTCATCCAGTCCCAACACCATTTACCACACACTTTAAATTAAACATTAATAAGTATAAGATACAAAGCGGGCATAGCCCGTATGCACTCTCCGCCCCATCTTTATTATAAGTCACTACGTTTTTCATGTTTTTTTAGTAGCAACTAATCCCCTCAACTATCTACAATGTAAATAATTTGGCTTAATGTTTAAAAAAAAAAGTGGGTGAGGTGTTACTCCGGCGGACATCCAAGCTAAGCAGCGTTGAGCTGGGTTAGTACTTGGATGGGTGACCGTTTAGGAACACCTCGCTCGCACAAAAATTGCGGACGGTAGGTACGGTGTAGCGGCCTAGTGTCTCCATCTAGTCAGTGTGACAGACGGATATATTAGGGCACTGCACAATCGGCCGGCTGTGCGACTGGGATTTTACATGGTTTCCCGTGTAGTCCTAGCTCGAATGGGGCACAGCTAAGAGTAAGACGGCTATGATAACGCAGATAACAATGAGAGGAAAAGAAAGGAGGGGAGGCAGGCTAGAGGAGGGGTTTCAAATCATTACTTATCATTACAAAGAATTACTTCGATAAAACCAATGAAATAGAAAAAATAAAATAGTATTGTAGGGGCGGGAAAAATCCCATCGTAGCAATTAAGAAATTTAAGCAAACCCTCGGCCAAGACCCCTTTTTTGCCGAGGGTAATAGACTGACGGCCTAGGTAAGGTTTATTGAGGGTTTTATTGGGGATAGACCTTTTGGCGACAGTCTGGCGCGCACGTGTGGGGAAATGCAGGGGAATTTCACGCAGGGAAATTAAGAGTTTGCCTCCCCCAAAAATGTTGCCATTTTGGGTATGCGTAGGAGTGGGGGTTGTAGTGGGGGGTAAGCTCGGGCCCAGAGTCGAAGTGCCCAAAACTTAGTCTTAAGATTAGTTTTTAACCAACCATCATGCAGATAAGATGTGTCTGGATTTTGTGTGACATTTAACTTTCATTTTAAATATACTTTTATTTTAGTGGAAGTCAATGTGTTTTTATTTCATCTGGTAGTTGCATGCCGTCGTTATTATTATTCCCTACAGTATATTTCGTAACAAGTGCAAGAAAGAGTTTTTTGGCGAGTGGGAGGTTTATATCACGAGCCGAAGGCGAGTGATATAACCCCACGAGCTAAAAAAACATTTTTTCACGAGTTACGAACAATATTTTTCATCACAATGTGGCGGAAATTGGACTTTTAGGCACGCGGAGCGTGCCGAAAAGTTCACTTTTCGTCACAGCGTGATGAAAAATAAAATTATAGGTTATCTTCAAGTTTTCATATTATATTCTAACATCTTCTAACGCAGATACCGGCGAAGTTCCTTAGATAACCAGGCCTGCAGAAGCAGCCGGCCCTGCACGTCTAAAATAATAAAATTGTTCATCAATTAAAATCATTCCAGAAGGTACGATGTTAATTTTATATTGAATTAAATTCTTATGACATTACCGGCGGACACGGTCGTGGCCGAGGATTCAAACAATCGGGTGGACAGGGGCTGCCACACCGGGTCCATATCTCATTGCGGCGACAGCGTCGTTGAGCGTTTATTTCTGTAAAAAAGATTTTTGTAATAGTATAAATGCAAATAATTTGAAGAAGATCCAAATTCTTAGGTAAACTATTTTAAACTTTGTGTTACAGGCGATCAGTAATCAGCGCTGATAATTAATATTTAATAAACGTTCACACAGAAAAAGCCAAACGTAAATTACGTTCAAGAAGTCGTCCTTTATGCCTTTTGAAGCGCATTTTAGACTTGAAGTTGAAGTGTACATTACATTCAAAATCGCCGTATATTACGATTTCATAAACGCAATTTACGATTTTGTAGTCGTAAATTACATTTACATAAATGTCATTTACGACTTCATATTCGTAAATTACGGTTAGGTATGCATAATTTACGGTTTCGTATTCGTAAATTACGATGATTTTTATTTACGTATTTTACGTTCATTTATTCGTAATTAACGGCGAAGAAAAAGAGGGTACGCTTTTTTTGGGCGTAATTTATGTTTTTATTTTGACCGTGAAATACTCCTTTTTGAAGCCTAAATTACGATGTCCATTATGGAAAAAAAACCACCCGACATAATATTGGCGTTAAGCAGAAATTACGTTTAGCAAACCGTAAATTACGTTCAGTAAATCGTAATTTACTTTTAGGTTTTTCTGTGTGTTGATATTCTTGATTCGATCAGATGCAAGATTATTTTAATAATTAATCATTTTAATTATCAGTTATTGAAACAACTTCAAATTTGAAAGACATTTGAAAAGATTTATTCTGCTAAAAATTGATTTTATTCTAATGAAACATGTCTTCAGTAGTAATTTTTAGTTCTTAACCATTTTGGGAAAAAAGTCAAAGTCAAAGCCCTACGTCACCTAGGACAAGCATTCTGTTCTGGCGCAGAAGAAGTTTTTCTTTTTATCTTTTGAAAAGATTAAATTCACGATTCCCGGCGGAATAAACTTTACAATTTCTACAGAATTTTAATATTTACTTAAATCGCTTTATTACGGATGTTCAGACAATTTGGTAAATCCTTCGTTCCTGTTTAAAAACGACTGAATTTTTCCCGTCATTTGTCACCGTCATTACTATCCAAAATCTTTTCTTTGAGTACGATTTTATTACGCTCAAATACTCTTCTATCCGAACATTTTATTACGGTCGATATTTTCCCGAATTTTAATCTTCGCAAATCCTCACTAATCCCTCCACTCAAAACAGTTGTCACATTTGAGTTGGTTTATAACTGCAAACACAAAGAACCTTTCAGTTTTATGCCCTCAGCGCTCCTTAATGACTCGGTTTTTCCAGTCGTTATTAATTCCTTGAATTTTCCCGAACCCCAATTCTCGTTATCCACGCGGACTCTATTATACCCCAACGCATTACTTGGGCCCAAATCACCTAACCAATAGGAACGTCGCATTGGGATCCCCGAAAAACTTAGACTACCGTGCCAATCTGAACGATTTGCCAAAATGTCTTTCTCCACGGTCCGCATTCTTTCATATAAACCCTAACATTTTCACATTTCAACCAGTTCCTCTCGTAAATAATTTTCGTCCTTATCGGTTTAAATAATAATGAATTACGCCGCGTTTCGGTTACATTTGACATTCATTTTTCTTTACTGTTTGATATCCTTTTTTAACTTTCAAATATTTCATTATTAAAAATATTATCCTCTAAACAAATGTACAAGTGTAATAAATAAAGTGTTGATTATTCGATAAACAATTTAAATAAAATAAAATAAAAAAAGACATTTTTCAATCACCTCCTCAGTATCTCGATACTGTGCGAGTGAACACTTTCCTTTGCGATATTTTCATATTCTAGGGCTATCATATGTCTCAAAAATATGGCCACTTTTCTTGTTAGAAAACATGAAAAGACATGGAAATTCAACTTAAAAAAATATATATGTGAAAATTGTTCGTCTCGCCCATTTGATCCTTATCAGTTCTCAGCGTCTGAAGTTTACCAATCATTGATGAATAAATAAAAACGACCCCGAAACTTGGACAAATTACCTCCGACGAAGACTAACGCCAGAGCGAGAATGAAGAGCAAACCAAGACGCGACATGTCAGATTCTCAATATCGTCAAAAATCCGTACTGATTCTGATTATAAGGAAACCACACACTTTTATAGCCGATGACAGTGGCGAGGATGCCTGCTAACGAATATTCTCCTTTATGTTGACGTCTGCCGCATAATACAACGGGAAATAATCTCTTTTTTGTCATAATAGAGTGAATGAGGGAAAGATTTTACTCTTCAACCATCCAGCTTCATTGTTTACGAAAATCTCTCTTCTCGTTCCGACCAAAGAGACAATATTAGTTTTACAGCGACAGGTGTATGCACACTGAGCTGATTATGATCATCACATTACGGCGGTAAAAAATAGAGAAAATATGTTTATCCTAAAAGAACGAAAAAACAAATCTTCTCAATCTATTTTTCATCTCTATTTTATATTCCCATAAATTACTGTGTAAATTCGTAACACTTTTCTACCGAGTATAATATTATAATATTATAATATAGTATAATATTATTTTCACTTTGTTTTCTCTTTTTTTTTGTCTGCTCGAGAATATCTCCAGAAGTTTGTGCAGAAAACTGTGTCATTTCAGTGTTTTACTTTGAGCAGAAACATTTGTCACTACAGTAATAAATCATATCTTTATGTTGGAGGAAATATATCAGAAAGGAAAAATTTGAAAACACAATACAGTGGCTACATTTCGGTTCCCTAACATTTTTTCTATATAACTTATTCTATTGAGATATTTTCTATAGAATTTCCTCGGCTCAAATTTTCTGAGTTTTTTCGTTTGATTTCCTTGATGGCAAGAAAAAATAGAATGAAAAAAACTTGGAAAATTTGAGGCGAGCAAATGCTATGGAAAATATATGAAAAGAATAAGTTGTATAGAAAAATCGAATTCTGTTGACTTTGTCTATTGAATATTTTCTATTGAACATGTCAATAGAATCAGCCAAAAGGTAATAGGTGGTGTACCGGAAACTTCGGATATCCACATATTTTTAGTCTTGCATTACAAATTCGAGAAGAAATATCAACAGAATTAAGTGGATAGGAAATTCGAAATGTGACAATCCATTTATTTGATTTTTGACGGAATTTATTGCACGAAAAATACAAAAGAATAATTTCCTTACAATGGGCTATCGTCCGAGGGCCTTTAGCCAAGGTGACAATTTGTTTCTACTAAATATTTTCTATCGATATTTCCATAAATTATAATATGTAATTTTATTATTTATATTCTATGAATGTAACTTTTCAAGATCGAAAATAAGAATTTTCGTCACAAGGCCCGGTAAACCACGATTCTAACCTCGCTTCGCTCGGTTAGATCGCGGTTTACGGGCCTTCTGACGAAAAATTGCATTCATCACAAGGTCCACAAAGTATTTTCTGACGAATGTGATTATAGGCCTCGCCTTCAGCTCGGCCAATAAAGCCACATTCGTCAGAAAATACTTTGTGGACCTTGTGATGAAAATAACTATCTGAATTATAAAAAAATAAAAAGAATTGTACGAAAAGTTCATGATGGAAGGGACGGCTTTAGAAATTCTTGAAATCTTCTAACATCTCGCAACACATATACCGCGATGGTTCCTCAACCAACGATGCCTACAGAAACAGCCTGGGACGCACTCCTGGAAGCATTTAAATGTTTATCAATTCGAATTCTTCTGAATAGATTGATACGAGTTTTATTTGGAGAAATGTTCATACTCTAGTGCAGGGTCTTGGACCAGGTTCCCTGCAGGTTAATGGGCAGCGCGTACCACAGCTGTTCCATACTTCATTGGGGGGGCATCGTTGAGCGTTAATCTCTGCGGGAGAATTCAGCAAATGATATTACAGAGACATTGAATCAAAATCCGCGTTAAAGTGTAAAATTGCGAAAATTTCATAGTTTCATGGAAAACATTCCTGACTATGGTTTGCAATTATGTGAAGTCATTCGTCTCGATTTCTCCCGGGGGGCGGGGGCGAAATGAAAGGGAGTCTCCTAGGTTATTGAATCTAACAAATTTTATAAGAAAATGTAATTTTTTAAAAATGTTTGCAACATCCAAGAAAATTTGACATTTTCCCCTACACTGTTTCAAATTTATTGAAATTTCAGTCACAGCATTATCTGAATTTTCGTTGTGGTGGAGATATGAAACGAACGATTTTGATATGAAAGCGGTCACTAAATTTCTCATTTATCTTGAAAATTCAAGAAAATTGCGTTTTTCATATTAAAACATCATTGATTTATCAATGAATGCTTGAATTTTTAAACTCATCGTGCAAATTGATCACATACAATTAAATTTTCAATAGATTCAAAATTCCGAAAAGTTCCAAACAATTACTTGAGTATTCAAGAAATTAACTGATTCGTCAATGAAGAAATATACAGAAATTTCATGTAACGTTTATTGTTGTTAAAAATTTCAAGCTTTGTCACTTGAATTTTCACGAGTAATTTTCAGGCTAAAGGCACCCCCCGGAACCGACACAGAAAGATCTAAACATAAATTACGTTTAAGAAGTCGTCTCTTACGCTTTCTGATGCGGAATTTACACCTGAAGCTGGAGTGTATTATTATTACGCTCAAAATCACTGTAAATTATGATTACATTAACAATTTCCGGTTTCATACTTAAAAATTACGCTGATTTTTTCCCTATTTTACTAACGACGAGGAGAAAAAAGTTATTTTAAGCGCAAAATGCAAAGTTTTTTTTCGTAAATTACGCATAAGTAAATCATGAAATACGTTCCTATAAAAATCGTAATTGACAATTTCTTATGCATAAAATCAGTAGCGAAGCGATAAAAAAGTTTAAGTCTACTTAGCACTTCGCTCAGTTTTCGAGGAATATCTCTGAATCTGAAGAAGATAACGAATTTTCGCTAGAAAAAAGGTTATAACAAAAATTTTACTATTCCTCTTACATTCTGAGATATTCAATGAAAACCGGCGAATACTCAAAATCGACTTGAACCGTTTTACCGTTTCGCTACTGAAATACGATTATTGAAATGTAAAAGACGCTTTGTTTGGGCGCATTTTACGTTTATATTGTCACCGCAAAATACGTCTTTTTGAAGCCTAAATTCCAATTTTCATGACGGAAAAAAACCACCAGAGATAAGCTCGGGGTTAAGCGTAAAGCGCTTAGGTTTTTTGTGTGCAACACGTACGTGTTATTTATGGGATTAATGCCGAATTGAAAAACAATCTCATTTCGATCGATTTTTCACTTTAACGTTTTGAAAATTGAATAACTTGCCTCCAATGAAGACCATCGCAATGGCGAGGAGGAAGAATAAACTGAAGCCCGACATGTTAGATCTTCAATGTGGTATGAAAATCGCACTGATGTTGATGACGTTGGAAGAACATGATTTTATATAGTTGGGGAGAGGGGTACCCCTCCTGACGGTATTATCTCTTCGTATCGATGTATCTACGTGCAATACGGAAAATTTACTGGAGGAAAAAATATTTTTGTTTTACCAATACGAAAGAAGGCACAATTTTTTCCGCTTTATCCCCTCCAGCGATCTGTCTTATTGCCGAATATCCTTGAATATTCTCGCCCTCTTTAACAGTGCAGAGGTTGAAAACCATGCGAAAGAAACGTTTATGATCAGACATTGACTATGTCACATGCCTGAGAAAGCTAACGGACGAAAAAATTTAATAGAAGAACCTAGTGAATTCGGTAGACAATTATATTGGATTTTTACGCACGGGGTGCGTAAAATTTCACTTTACGCACAAGTGATGAAATGGAGACTTTCGCAAGGCTCAAGTTAAGGCTTTCGCAAAATTTTCGAAAGTCTTAATTTGAGATCGTAAACGGAAGGAAATATTCAGCAAAAATAACGGAACAATTTTCGTAATCCGCAATGGGGAATCGTTTTCCGGAAATTTTTATAGGAATAGAAGAGGAGAAATCTGAAACGTTCAGTACATTCCCAGGTTCATCACCGAACAAAGTACGAAAAAGTCCCGTAATTTTTCCCGAAGAAGTAAAATCTTACAGAAACTTCCCGACTTATTATGCCTCCAAAATCAAAAATTCTTGAACATTCAAGAATTTGTATGAAGCATATGTAGGACAATTTCTATAATTAGGGGAGGAGGGGGGGGGGGAATTC